TTTGAGCTTGATAGCCCATAGTCATGGTCTACCTTTTTTTTTAATGGGAAAGAGCAGAGCAGACATTCTGCAAACCATCTCATTCTGTGTTCCACAGAAGAAAGTCATACAGGTTTGTAATAAAGTTAAGACATGAAGTTAAGCAAATGATGACAATTTTATTTTTGGGTGAACTATCTCTTTATTGATTGATGATAGAGAAGTGAATAGTTATATACCTTTGTTCCTAAGATAATCTGTCTGTCTCCAGGAACAAATAACGAGCAGAGAGCATATTCACATCCCATGGTACGAATGACCTGCAAGGTGGACCTGACAAAAGAAGATACTTCTTGTTAAGGACTCAAAATCTATAAACCCATGCAAAAAAATGATAATTGATGGAAAACATTTGTCATCCCACTCACGTGTTCCACACTTTGACAGTCTCTCCAGAGGCGGAGAGGATGGCTATGTTATCTGAGCTGAAGGCCAGAGTTCTGACATCTGTACGATGACCGCCCATTGTGAGGCGAGAGGTTTTAGTGCCAGTAGGATTCTTCTCTGAAGTCTTCAGTGTATATGTCTCCACTGTGTTATTCTGCAGAAGAAGAGCAACCTTCATCTCTCCGTTCGGAACCAGAAGGCAGTCCATTGATCTGTAGATGAAAAAAACATTACCATCAATACTTGATAACAGTAACACGCACGAGGGCACTGTGCTTGCATGCATACTCTCTGACCTGATCTTGGATGACGCCTTTATGTTTGCCAGCTTTTGGATCTCATCACTCAACTTTCTCTCCACTACAAGTTCAGGTACATCCTCTCCTCCTCCTTGAGACCTGCATAACATAACAGTTCATCAGAATATCAGAAAAGCAACAACTTCACATTTCAAAACAGAGGTCTCACACACTTTGTTTTTTTCTTGGCTTTCTTTAGTTTTCTGTCCATTTTTTTCTGGACCTCTTCCTCCGACAGTACAGTGAAGACTTCAAGCGTAGCATCCAGGCCCTGTTGAGATTTAAAAAGAAGTTATATGATGTAGGCTCAATTTTTGCCTAATTATTGCATAGCTACTTTGAATTAGGGACTTCCCAACAAAACCGACCAAGCTAAAGAGAGTGGAACCCTTTTTTTCAGTAGGAAGTGAAACACTAGTATACACAATTATGAAATATACTTACATGGCATGCAAGCACTTTAGCTTTGGCGTCTGTGACCAAGGACACTACCCTGTCTCTGGCTTCCCTCAGAACAGAACCAGCTTTCTTACAGCTGAGAATTCGCTGTAGACAGAAATCAGATCTTTTGATGAATATTTGAAGGAAACCCTTTTTCTTAAACTAAACGAATGTATTGCGTCAGGTCAAATCACTAATATCCACTGAATACTGGAAGAAATATTACTTCTTCTGGCTCTTCGTCAAGTCCTTCCTCATCATCCTCTTCGTTCTCAAGAAGAGTTCTGACTTTCTTTTCCTGTGGCTCCCCCACTTCTTTACCCTGTGAAAAATCTTTAAAGTCATTCTGAATACATGAGATCAGTTTCAATTCTCTATATAAGAGACCAAAGATCAAATTCAAGACTGTATTGGAATGTAATTCAGCCTACAATGTAACCATTTGCCACAGCATGAGTGATATTGCCTTACCTCCTCAATGTACTGAATGTCCCAGGCTCTGAGCTCACTGTCAGCAGACCCTGTAATCAACCTACTCTTCTGGTTCAACAGGACCATTCCCCATACCTATAGAGATTGGACAATGTTGCACTGTACTACAACACTAACAGATATTTAGATTGTGCTGGAGACTCATTCTCCAAAATGAAAGTAAGAAAACACCTTATGAGCGATTTTCTTCAAGATACTAAATGCCACCTAGGCTCAGATCATTTACGGTAAAACCCCCCTAATCATTTACAGTACATTGATTTATGCTGATATCAAAGCAGCAAGAACATGCATTGTGTGTTGTGTTGTATATTTCAGAAAGATCAAAACAGTCTCAACAGTGTCCAGTGATCCTATTTACCTCAGTGCGATGCCCCACCATGGTCTTGAAACAATGCTGTGTGTCCAAGTCCCACCACTTTACAAAACTGTCCTTAGAGCTGAGGAAACATGAGAAACACAGAATCAGATCAGCAGCGCATTACTACATTGCTGGGCCAAGGTACACATCCAGTTACTTTATTCTTTTAGCATGAAGTATTATATAGTATTACATA